TTTTGAGCTTTTATCATTCATTACTAAATATTAAAGTATTAGTACCTTTATATTAAGAAGTCTAACTTTGATCTTGCTTCGAAGTTTGCCTCTTAGACTTCTCGTCATGATCTTTCTTTGATGTCGTTTCTCATGCTCTTGATCTTGCTTTTTCTTGACGTTTGTATGTTAAGCTCTCGTCTCAAATGATTTGACTTGAATGTTTAATTTCCACTTTGATCTTCATTTCGAGTTTGATTTATTTGTTGATTTTGGAAATGCTTGATTGATTTTAATATTGAACTATCATCACTCAAAATCAATTATTAGAAACAATATTAATATTATTTGTTATGATCAAAATATTAAGGAAGAAATCAATTATAGGTCAACATGAATTGGGGACCATAACCCTATTAGATATTTTAATATGTATTTTGTCACATCATGAAATACAACCCAAATGAATGTAGTTTTACAAATAATTAGGCCCATACCATACTAGAAGCCAAGAGCCCTTTAATTCTTTATTAGATCACGTTAAATGGGTTTAACCTTAAGATAACATTTAGTACACAATTAATTACATATGTAGACCCATATGACAAACTAAAACTTAACAATGTGTGCATAATCTTATGATGTCAAAACATTTGCTATCATAACCAAAAGCATCTTCCAACAATCTCATCCATTGATTATGTCAAAAATATGAGCAAAAAGATCTTCGTTGTGTAAATCATAACTAAACTCATCAATGGTCACATATATCAATAAAAATGATATAGATCAAGTATGGATGTACAGCACGAAAACTACATGCAATGTGATCCAACACATGTCTATTTTAAACAAGTCATACCTTATTCTTTAATGAGATGTAACCAAATCTTAATCAGAGTAAAAATCACTGAATACTTTATTTCTAAAAATAAATTGAATATAAATAAAAATGTGTCTAAATCAAACAACATCCAAATACAAACTTTCACTAAATTAACATATCATCTAAAGGTGGGCATGAGTTCGGTTGGGTTTGATCGATTTTTGCCTTAACCCAAACCTAACCCAACATGATCGATTTGATCAAAATTTAACCCAATCCAACACATGCAAAGATTGAAACCCAACCCAACCCAATCAGGTATCGATCGAGTTGGGTTGAGTTGGTCGGTTTATGACAACTTATCAACAAAAATTAAAGTCGTTCAATTTTCTATTATACTAACATGATC